GTTTTAACGATCAAAATTATCGAGCGGACTCGATAAATGTTATTAAATTCTATATTAATAATGTCAGGACGCATTTAGGTCACAGGTGCTTTTCCATAGCGTGCTACAAAAGTTTCATTTCAAACTTAACGCTGCATAATTGCGCGCAACATTATATCCTTGTTACGTTAACCATAGAAAATTACGCTAAAGAAAAAAAAAAAAGAACAAGAGAAGTCGATATTCAGCTACTAGATGGAATTTGTATACTCGAACACCGAGAAAGCATGCCGAGGAAAATTGTTTTTCGTGAAAGGTACTTAAATCTTTTCCTGATTAAAGCAATGACGTTACCGAACATTATTGAAATTAGCGTGAAAGCAATCCAATTACATGCGAGAACGACTGCTAAAGGAATTTTTCATACTTCATAATTCATAATATGTCAAAAGTAGTGCAATGAGTAATGCTTCTTGCATATTTTTCTTTTCATCGCGCAATCTGCACCGTTAACTCTGCTAAACGGATCCGCTTGTATCTTTTTTTTCCTGAAAGCAGCTGGCAATATCTCAAGATTCTAGCGCTACTCTAATCAAAACGATCTAACATTTAAGAAAGCACAGAAAAGCACAAAGAGTGTTCTTCTCATGCAACCATTGCATCCTAATTTACATTCTCTAATAAACAAAATCGTTTCACGGAATCGAGATAACACCCTTAACGATCATTTCCTTAATCCGCACGTGTCTGACTCTCAAATTTATCCGGCAATTATCTTGACAATTTAAATTTCGAATATATATTGTAGAATCACAAAAAAGAATTTTTTCCGTCTAGCGATATTTTGGATGTTCAGAATTATAAAAACGCGCTCACCTCGATTCCGTAATCTGCTATTAAGATACGAAATATCCGAGCATATATTCGACATCACATCGCGAACTCGATTGAATTTGCCGGGACATGATCTCGAGGAGTTTTCAGAATTCTAAATAAAAAAAATTTCAAAATAAATTTCTAGGTTGAGTCGAATCATTCTCGGATATTTCGCAAATTTTACTACATTCTACGGCAGCGGCTCTTAACCGAGATCTACGTATTATCGTTTGATACGACATATTTGGAAAAGGTACCTTTGCATCTCTGGGCTCTTTGAAGAAACAAATTTGAAAAAAAAAAAAGATTGAACTCGTGTCACTCGTAATTAAAAATCCGCTGTGCTATAACAATAGGCACAATCTACAGTAACATGGGGTCGCGAGGATATTTACTTGGACGCTTGATGGATCCTGTGAAAAGGAGAGCCTACCAGCTTGTGCCAAGCTGGTCGGGCTGGACAGGTTTGTGGGACTGCTCGTTTGAGGACTCTGGAATATACCAGCGGTTCGACCATTTCAAAAAGAGATTCCCGTTTTTCAGTGGTAAATCCTACTTGTCTATAGCTCGTCCGCACGTGGCTCGACGACGTAAAAAAATGCGGCGAGAAATGAGGCGAACGGTTGTGGTGGGGAAAGAAAAAAAAAAAACAAGTGACCGACGAGAGAGAGGGAACCGCGATGCAAACGAATTGCAATTTCGATATCGACATCTGCCTTTTAGCTTCTTTAATCGGATATTCTTTCGTCGATCGCATCAATTGTAAAATGATTAGTTAGCCGATTTCAATCCTTTCGAATGTAGAAACAGATTACTTAATATCGATATCGATAAAAGACGCTCTTTTCAAAAATAGAAATGCATTTTTTTCGCAAATAATATCAAGATTGTCGCGATCTTTTAAGTAAGCTCGCCAGGTCGTCTTCCAGCCACAGATAGACAATTATTATATATTTAAACAATTAAAAGTGCCATCATTTAACGTTAATAAACTTAAACTTTTGCTAAGCTAAAAAAATTCTAACTTAAACAGTCCTGAATAGCTGAATATATATTTAGAATTATCTGAAACATTTTATATAAAAGTCAATCTTTTATTCGTCACAGTAATCTAAGTTGAAAAATTAAAAGTTCTAAACTGATACTGCGCATTTAAAATCTAACTGATAAAATATCAGGATTTTATCGTACTGAGACCGGATGGATTAAATTACCCGTTGAATGGCAATGAGTAACGTCGCTTATTTATAGAACCTATCGGCGAGTAACATTCGCGAGCAGTAATCAAAATTGTATTTTGTTTTTTATTTAATACGTGCAAAATCGCTCGGAGAAACATGTCTGTCAGCGCGAGTGATCAACAAATCTGTTTTAATGACACAAATTATTCTTATTTAAAACTTTAGATGTCGTCTCACAGAGATTTTCTCCGAGGATCGAAGACGAAAGTGAGAGAAATAAAAAAAATTTAAAAAAAAAAAAAAAAAA